CCCGATCGAAGGGTCTGCAGTGACATCAGTTGAGGCCCTGAGCCATCTCTCTCGATGAGAAAGTTCATTGATTCGGGTATGATACATTACATTCCACTGAATCAGCTTAGCGTACGAATGTTGCAAACAGCATAATCTTACATAAACACCCGTAGATAGGATAGACGCTTGCACGTGGCTTAATATGCGCAGACACGTCTTGTGGCAAACGATGTGACACTTGATGCAGACAAACAACCGAGCCTTCTCGTATAGTATATTTCATTCACAACCTCCTACTCGGTGATATTTCCATACACAAAAATCAATGTGCACATATGAAATAAGAACAAAATTACTTTTATTATTGGAAATAAAAGTCAATCATCAATTACACCGAAAACTAGGATAATTTGAAAGTTTTTTCTTTGTTGCCATCGTTAAGATTTATTCACCATTTTCGTTGAGTTTTCATTATTTAGATTAGAATCCGCTGTGCAACGTCAACATTAAACATTTATCAACAGTGAAGGAAAACCATCAAAATGGCTTAGCTGAATGTCATCGTGGAATGATTTTCTCAGCGAGGTACGATCCTAGAAATTCACATTCTCCTACAGACACAAAATTCAACTACAGTTTTATAGCCGGTGTCGCTGACAGTCACATGCATCAAGGACAAACATGACTAGGGCGGATGGCACAAGGCCTTATGCGTCCTAGAAGCTAGTGGCTCACGCTGTTCCTCTGACGATGTCTGCGGCATCCGGTGCGTAAGACCTGATTCCGCGATGTTCCAGCAAGTTCTCTATTCATATGTGCTCATCCGCCGGGACCGTCTATGCTAGAGTCACACAAATTAAAAATTTTACGAACATTTTTTTCACTTGCCGACTGCATGTTCGTTTTCAATATGAAATGCTATGAATTAATCACAACTGTGTTTACGACACAAACGAAACTTTTGTAATTTAATTCAATATAAAAGAATTAGTTTTATAGAAATATATTAGTAATATTCTAGTAATTTGTAATGTCATTTTATAATTTCCCATAATGAACCAATTTTCTGAATCAACTTCTCACAGGATCCGAAAAAAGCATTTGCTTTTGAACTTTGAAATTATTTTTAATAAACTGACCATAATTAAAGCACAAAGTGGTAAAATTAGAGTTATTTTAAAACAAATGTCAATGCTTGTAATTGTTCAAATTGATATCTCAAGTTTATGCATCAAAGATTTAAATAAAATCGCTCCGTTTCGAAAATGAAAATCTATTTCTTTCGAAAGTGAGAAAATCAAGAGTGATTATTTTGAAATAAGAAATATGGATTTAAAAATAAAAAAACAAAAAACAATGAAATAATATTTATTCAAAGAAAAATTATAAAATGCCATTTCATAACAAGTGTAATATAAAATTTTTACTCCAAAACTAAGTTTTTTTTACATACCAGGAATGTTAATAAAATGTGCCGATTTCCAATGCACCTAAATAAAGCCTCAAAAACAAATTGTAAACTATAGATCACTTCATTATGCTACGCAACAATGAACACAAACAAATTGGCAAGAAATCAATATCATTGTGACAAATCATTTACTCATATTATCTTGGAATGTAAATGATATATAATATATAATGTATATTTGCATTGAAGGAGTCAAACCATGGCAGGCAATAAAAGATAAAAATTATAAAAAAATAATTCTACGTCATAAATTATTAATAAGTTTTATGATGCGAAGTAAAGTAGCTCTTAATGATTTGTTGCAGTGAAATGATTTTTCAAATTTTCTTATTTTTAAATGTTCAAGAATCATTTATACTAATTACTTTCAAATAAGTAATATCTTTATCATATCGAAGTTTGCACAGTCTCTGACAGAAATAATTACACTACACCGTTCAGATTATTGAATTCTGAAAGAGATATGATGAAAAACGGAAGAATATTAATAGAAATCTAGGCAATAAATACAATTTTATGTAAATAGTATTCACTTCAAGAAAAACTGCGTATTTTTCAGAAATGTGAATTATCCAGTTTGTATTTGTCACTGATTCAATCTAATAAAGTAGTTTAATGACTATGAATGATGCAAATATAATGTTCAGTTCTTTTCGGTAAGTCACTGCGTGACATTTCTAATTCCTGTCGATTGTTCTTCGATACATGACGTTAACAAAATTTCATAGAACACCAAATCAATTATTCCAATTAATGTATTAAAATGTTACAAAATGATGAAAAGAGTCTATTTTCGTGTCGAAGAATAGAAAGAATATATATGTTTCCCTCCCAAACAGAGTTTCTATAATGGTTTGGACCATTTTACAACCATGCTCCAATAACTCGCGTTAATAATCAGCGTTATACGTATTTGAACCACGTACAGTATAGCCCCAACATATCAACAAATAAATGAATAGAAATTGCAAATTCTTGTTACTTATCAAGCCTTTAAATATTTTCCAAAACATATTGTACTATCACAGATTCAGATTTTGAAGCAGTTTTTTTTCATTCTTCACAGTACGATATATTTCATGACAAAAGTATAAGTAAAATATCATTTTTTCCTGCAGTAATTTTGAAGAGTTAGAAAAGTTCATATTCAAGTATGGTAATTAGCGTAGGCGAAATGTATGCTCCAATTTCAACATAGCTACACTTCAAGGTCACGAGCTGAATGGAAAGGGATAGACTGGCATCCTACTGGGAGCTCCAATACAAAAATTTAAGTCATAACGAAGCTTCCGATTGGATGAGAGTGTTCCGTTCAGTTCGTGACGTTGAAGTGCAGGTGTGTTTAAATCGAAATACAAAATGTGATTTGTCGATTTAATTGCTTCCGCGAGGCCCAGCAGCATCGTCGTTGGGCGAGTGAGCGATTGCCCTACGAGTCCGCCCCGTCGCTGAGGGAGCCTCCCTCAGCATCCAGCTGCCCGCTTTCGAAGCGCCTCACCAACTTGGCCACGAGGCGGAGTCGAGCTCGCGCGAGGGCCGTGGGGGAGGGGGGCGCGGAGAG